ATCATTAATTGATTGCTGCCTTGAATATGAAGACAAAACAGCAGTTCAAGTAGGCGATAATCAAAAATTATTCCGCCTACTTCGAAAAGCAATTGGTGCCTAAGAAATGGTCAGAGAAATGATCCAAAATAAGGACGGAAACCGTTAAGACCATCAAAGACCATTCCTCCTGATGATTCCTTCTTTGAATCTGAATTTATCTAAGGCGGATCATACAATATCACGAATATGACTGGATTGCATTTAGAGCCATGTGATTGCAACCAGCAAACTACTGTGTTTTACAGGGTAATAGAGATCGTTTCAAGCATATTTCATCTGCTTCATTAACTTTACCGCTGTTTCTGATTCGAATGATAGAGCAGCTCTGACAAGTCATGAAATACAATGGCGTAACCAGAGAAGATGATCAGATTTATCTAAGCATTTTATCGGCGTAAGCACAGGTTTGTATGTATGGGGAAGCCATTTCGCTCCGAATTATCCAAAACTCCAATAAATCAGCAGCCAGTACTTCTCGGAGATAGGTTTAGTAATTGACGAGAGCCGACATGAGAAAGACGAACTTTAAACAAGCAGGCGCACGCGATATTTAAAAAGAATGTGGATAGCAATCGCTTGGTTTGCAACGCCCATAAGCGTTCTGAAGTTCCACGCTACGGCTTTATTTTAGTTTGAATTTAATGAATTCAAAAAAATTTAATAAAATTCTTTTAATAGTAAATTCTAAGAATTTTTAGCTATTTTGAATTACAAATTCGTTTAAATTCATTTTCATTTAGGTCAAATTATTTTTAATTCATTTTTTCGGATCTGATTAATTAAGGAAATTTCATTTAATAACGAAAGAGAGGATTGTTGAGCCTGAAGAAAATTATTATTTAAGAAATTGGGTGCTTCAGTGAATAATGGAGCAATATTGAATTATTATTTTTTTGTTTTCAAGTAATTCCTTGGCTAAGTGGTTTCACCTCAATAGACAGTGGAGTAAGCCAAAATTAAAGTAGAAATGGTTAAGAAATTTTTTCTTCTAGACTTAAACTTAAACCGAAGCATAGCACAATAAGATTTAAAAAAAGATAGATTACGGGAATGCGATTGCTTTCTTGTTGGTAAAAATCAACATTTTTTACTTTCGCAGTTTTCTGAGAGTATATAAAATAACTTGATGCAGAAACGATTTTCAAAATAAAAACTTTTAATTGCGGGAAAAAATCAAGTTAAGATCGTGGAACGAAGAGATTGAAAATGAGATATTATTTGTACCAGTTTTCCATAATTTTGGATTTTTTTTTCCATCTCATTTCTTTATTAGTGAAAAATTGTAAACGATGGAATAATTAATTATAATTATAAAATTATAATTACAAATTATGATATCAATACAAAGTATTTAATAAGAGTTAACGGATTATCAATAAACAACAAATTTCTAATGTCGCGAATATAAATATATATTTCAAATAAAATATTAATAAAACTATGGAATAAAAGATTAGAAACTAGAAAAAATAGAAATATGAAATATGAAATAAGAAATTTGAAATTACTGGAATCTTCGGTGAAAAAAGAAATCAAAAATCAAATCTTAACTTAGCTTCACTTCCATCACAATAATTTATTTTTATGCCTACCGAAAGCTAATTCAAACTGTGCATAATGTTAATAATTTATATACACTCTCCTTCCTCTACCACCATCTTCATTTCTATTGCCACCAAAGACAAGATAGCAAAGTGGTTGTCGCTATTCCAGCGTCAGGATGCGCGTGTTGCCTCCGATAAGAATGAACTGCCATTAAAAATTCGAGTGGGGCCATATTCGTATCATCAACTCCCTTTTTTGCTAATTCCCTTTTTTGCCATGCTAATAGCCAGTAAAGCCAGCCTAACCGGACACATTGAGTATTGAGTATTAACTACTTATTCACTTATCGCCGTCCACCGCTTACTCATCCATTTTCATCAAGAAAATAGTTTTTTAACCAAAGATTGCGATTTACTTGATGATAAAGTTCTACTTCTTTATCATACGATTAAATTATTATAAATGGGCTGTTTACAATTTTTTGTGAAAATTCATCATCTAAATTTTCGTTATGCTTAATCAGTTCGTTTTTTTTCAGACAACAACCTATTGCTGAATTATTTTTTGACATAAAAGTACCTGTAATCAAAGCACGCACAAAATGTATAGAAAAAGAAGATGAGAAGAGGCAGTGTTATCAAGTAAACGAAGATTAATTCAGTCAATAATAGGTGCAAGTTACATTACTTCAAGTTATCCATTTTTTTATATATCGTTAAATATGAAATTTTTCGACAACAATTAAGACTAATTAAATGATAAGACTAATTAAATGATCAAGACTGGTTAGAAACGAAGCGAACAAGTGATTTACGAATAACTTGGAATACAAAATCGTGGTGCCTAAATTGGATAACTATGAAATTGTCCGAGATATTGGTTTACAGCTTGGAACATAGTCACGATCGTCAGGGTTCGGACCCTAATAAGAGTACACGTGTCATTTCTGGGCAGTGCTAGCGATCGACTTCTACTTCTATCACTATGTGACTCCTCAGAAAAGATTTTTCAGCACAATCAATGCAGCAGGCCTAATCAGAAATGGGTACCATAGAACGATAAGCAGCTCCTTGCCTATCTAATATGTTATTTATCGATCATTCGTACGAAGCTATTTCTGAAAATCTATGCCAACATATTAAGGACATTTCTCTATACATAAAATAAGCCAAAAAGAAACAAAAGAATCTCATAAAATCAATTAATATATTATGGAAGTGATAATGGAATCAAAGAAGACAGACAGCTAAAATAAGAAATTTTTGACGATCGTTACAAATCAAGATGAACTGCTAAACAATTTGGAATTTGGCAATTAAAATAAAATTCTTCAATAAAATAAATCTTGTACAATGCTTTATGGATAAAATACAAATAGCAGCCAATTCGGCACTTTCTAATATAATATTAACTTTTTTTATTTACTTACTGTAATTTCTTTTAATGATATTAAATATATCGAAGTTAAAAAATAGTTCGTTCACAACATGAAGAATAAACGAGTAGAAGATTTTAAAAAAACAAAGTATTTAAAAAATCATGAAAAACTTCAGAGAAAAGCGTGAACCCTCTTTTCAACTCTTAAAAAAGTAATAGCAAGGCGAATATTAGGGTCATAAAACTGGTTAGGCTCGAATAATCGAAATGCCTTAAAATTGAAGCCTTATTTAACGATCCACTTTCTGGAACAACGTTCTTAGTTTGTTCGTGAATTTCACCTTCCTCAGATTCATCGTCTTCTTCATCTTCCATATCATCGTCCCTTTGAGCGATATTGCATTCGAAATGGCAATTATGCAATTTATCGGCGTGAAGACCCTTAAAATTACTGCATTCATCAAGGATAAATTTATCTGAGAAAAGAAGTTGAACATTAAGTTCACCTTGAACATATTTGTTAGACTTTTGCACATAATCATTTGCGCACTTTCCGAATGACAGATCCCTTTCATTGCACTTATATATTCTTGTAATTTGCCGTTCACTTCATCGCACACCTGAAATTAAGAATTTTAAAAACTATGATCCAACTTTACTTCAAATAAATTTTCTCGTGATGTAGGATAGCTAAGTGGTTAATGGCTTAGATTTTTTTATTCAGAGCCAGTAATTCGATTCCTGCATTCGATAGGAATAAATCGACATCAAAAAATACAGGCAATGGCCACCTACTGGTACTTGGACTTCCATCACCAAACGATTCAAGAATTTCTAACAGCGCAGTGAGCCTTATCAGAAATGATGCGTGTTTAACCATTAATTTCTCTGGCTAGCGCTAAGAGAAATTTGGAATCTTTCACAGCTTTTAAGTCAAATTTACCAACTTTTACCAATTTTCCATCATCTTCCAAAATATTAAGTGCAAAAATAACTTTCTTCATCATAAAATTTTTTTTTTAAGAGTCCTCATCATTTCTGGTTAAACCCACTCCGCTGGCTTGTCGCACTGGACAAGTAAGAGAGTCCCTTGGTGATAGAAGTACAGGTGATGCTAAAAAAGTAGAACATATAGAATGAGAATTTAGATTAATTTAATTTAATTCATTAATATGAATGGAAAGCAATAATGAGATCAGTGAGGGCTGAAAGCAAATAATTGAAAAACTGATTTTGTAAACTGAAAACTGAATAATTGAAAAACTAAAATAATTAAAAAACTGATCCATAAATACCTGATCATCAGGATGCTCGAGGAATTTTTCAGAAAGGTAGGTACCAGCGCTTAAAGTCATTTCGCCAATACGCTCTTCTGCGAGACATTCACGATGTTCTTTCAGAAGATTTTGACCCTCCTAAGAAAAAATATATCTCGTCATATATTTTTGAAAGTCTAAAAAAACTTAAAACCTCTTGCTACTCCACTATCCATTAACTTCCTTTAGAGTCCAAAGTCCCTGTTATACTTTTTTACTGCGTTTTTACCATGTTTAAACCATATTATATTTTAGAAAACCCAGTTGGTATTATTTATCCTCCCACTTCTTCACATTTCTTAATATAGTTTTATTTTTTGTAATTTCTTTTACATCTTGGACATTATTATAAATTATAACCTCTTGATTGAACTGATTGTGCTCCCAAATATTTCCTTAAATTCCAATTTCCATTATCATAGAAACCTGCTATACTCTATTAACATTTTTTTTAGGAGCATTCACCATTACGCTCATCCTCCCTCCATCCCCGCTCCCTGGCTTCTCTGACTACATGCCAGGGAGACCCTTGACAATAGAAATATATCGCTAGCATCACCAGCCATTGATGACTTATCAATAATGAATATTTTTTTATATATTTTATCACTCCTTTTAAAACTTTCTCAAAAACATATTTTTTATAAAAAATTTTTTTTTTGTCATTTCTGTAGGCTCATTAGTAATAAAACATTTATATTTGTAAAAATATAAAAATATAAAAATTTCGGAAAATTCATTTGAAATGAGAGAAAACTATAGAAACCTGTGAACAAGCATATGTTAGAAGATAATAACTTTTCAAAAAGCTTCCTGAATTCTTACGATGTGTCAGTAGATCACTGACCGTATTCGATGCGGCGATAATTTCATTATGGTCACATTCATGTTTATTCGGCCCAGAATCCTAGAAAAAACTTAATCAGTTTTAAATTCGATAAAAAGAGAAAGCAAAAATAAAAATAAATGTAAATTTTCAATAATTTTCTCGAAACAACGAATCAATTTAATATGGAAATTTTATCATTTTAATCGTAAATCGAGTAATGTGGGTGAACCTAATTGGTGTCTAAAAAAATAAAAGAAAATACGATATAAATTAATTATTTGAATTAATTTAATTATTGATTTAAAATCATAAGTTCTCTACTATCTACCTCCGTGCTTATCGACAGCAAAGTGTTCGAGTGATGTATTGCATAGGTTACCATTTCAAGGATCAAGCATATTTTGCATAATTCTATTCCCAGGACTCTTTAGCGAAACTTAAATAACCAGTTGAGTGAGCCTAACGAGAAATGCTAAAGAATACTTTCTATTATTAGTTTCAGATGAATTGGAAAAATCACTTATAAATTTGAAAATTTTTTACTTCCTTGATTAAAGATCACCAAATAATCCATGATTGGTTAATTAAGCCAAAAAAGCCGTTAATTCTAAAATTTTCGAAATTCAAATTTTCAAAAACATTTTTATATTTGCCTAATCATTACGATTCTTTGACTTCATTCACAAATTTTCCTGCTGTTAAATGCAAACTTCAAACTAATTTATGGAAATCTTTCTAAACAAAAAACTGTCAAGGCGAAGCTAAATCAATAAAAAACCTCGAAAACAACCGACAACTTCGCACCTCGAATTTTTAAATCTTTTAACTAAATAATAAAATTTATGGAATTTTTGTAACACAATTGGTTCTGGCATAGCCATACCAACTGCGCCTTCACCGGTAAATTTTCTATAAATTTTTAGAATTTTGTAATGAATTATGTAAAATATATATATATATATATATATAATCGATAAAATTCATTAGTTCACCAGTTTGTAATAATATGGATATAAATTAGCGATAATTGAATAAAATGATGAGATCTGTTGCCTAATTGAGTTTTATAGGATTTCAATACGCTTCACAGAACAAATTACAAGCGATAGAAGGAAAATATTAAGTATGAACGAAAAAAACTTCAATGAAGAAGGATTATTTTAAGTCAAGTCGATCTGTTAAGTACTACATTTGACGTTTTTGTCCACTAATTTGAATTTAATGATTTAGTATTTCGAAACATTATGTTTTCCTTGGCAAAGAATTTCACAGCTAAATAAACTTCAACTATTGATAAAAAAATATTGATGACCAAACAATTATGCGAAATGAGTGAAACTGAAGTGAGAAGTTGAAGAATAATGAAAATTATAAAAATTCGATTAGGAAAGAGATATGTTTGAGAGAAATTAAAGGTGTACGTTTATGCACTGATCGAGCTGTCGAAGATGTTCACATTGTCCTTCATTAATTGTCACAACGTTATCCTTCAATTCATACAGTGTCCAAGCCCATTCGTCAAGAATATTTATGAAACATTTTACAAGAGTAATATAATCACAAGACTGAAAAAGAGGAATGGAAATTTGCCATATAAGAAAATAAAAATCCTGTAACAAAATTTAAAACCAATAATAAATATAATTTCAATGGTGGATGAAATATTGAAAAATTATTGAAAAATTTTAACCAACAAACTCAAAGCAGTCAGGTTAAGCATATAAGATGGATATGTCTCCAGATGAGTAGTAATAAATCTAATAAATTCATTCAGAAATGATGATCTGGTTCAAAGTTAATTTAATCATTGAAAAAAGAAAGAAATGCCATGGGGGAATATTCCATGCATAAAACGCAACCAGCGAAAAAAAACAATTCAAATCTTTAGGTGAAAACTACGATCCCCTTCCTGATTGTATTTAATTGAATTTCTTATTTTTATCCAACATCATTACGTGTTGGCTCATTTTTTGTTTATTCTGTTTTTTAATGAAAAAACAGAATTTTAAAATTCTTAAAAAATAAAAATAAAGTTTTTTAATGAATTTTAAAATTTTATGAAAAAATGAAGAAAATGCGCATCGATAAATCATACTTGTTGACTGGCAGGTAGTGAATTGAATAGAAAGCATATTGGCAGAAAAAGCTTCATCCTTAAGTATGCCGAGAAAAGCATTTTTGCGCACGTTACTCAAAATCGATTGCTCATGCACTTTGAAACGAATGCAACAATAGCATTGGCCTGGAAAAAATTATATCGTAAATGAAAAAATAAAATATACCGGAAAAAAAGCAAAATAAATCGAAGAAAGGGGCATAAAAGGCCAATCAAATTTAGCGAACCTAATTTTCAATTTCTCAAATTAAGGAATATTTTAAATAAAATAAAAAGCCATATTCATGCATCCATAAGTTAACAAGTAAAAAATTAATAAAGTATTTTTTAAGTTATTTTTAATTATTTTTATTTTTAATTATATTTTTAAATTTCATTCATCGCGGACAATTAATACGGTTCAGTCACAAAAAGGAAGTTCGAGATTTCGTGTTTATTTCGTGATTGTTCTAGACAACAACGATTATTCAAAATAATGGAAAGATTTCCTTTTATGTTCAGGTTTCGCTAGTAATCAAATAAAAAATATAACCTGAATATTGTTTAGCTCTTGCAGAAGATACATTAACATCTATAGAATGCTAATTAAAATAATAAGCATTTGTAAATTATTTCTATGAATTATTTAATATGAGAGATCACAAAAAAAGTAACATCAGTAAAATTTTTCGAATTTCAAGTATTAACTTACAAATTTTTCATAATTTATGGAAAAAAAAGGCAAATGCATTGCAAAGAGAAGGAATTACTAAGTAAAAAAATTGCAATAACCAGGTTGAAAAATTAGCAAATGTAAAGAATAGAAAATGAGAATTCTAAATTCCATGCGACAATTACTGAAATCATTAATTGATTGCTGCCTTGAATATGAAGACAAAACAGCAGTTCAAGTAGGCGATAATCAAAAATTATTCCGCCTACTTCGAAAAGCAATTGGTGCCTAAGAAATGGTCAGAGAAATGATCCAAAATAAGGACGGAAACCGTTAAGACCATCAAAGACCATTCCTCCTGATGATTCCTTCTTTGAATCTGAATTTATCTAAGGCGGATCATACAATATCACGAATATGACTGGATTGCATTTAGAGCCATGTGATTGCAACCAGCAAACTACTGTGTTTTACAGGGTAATAGAGATCGTTTCAAGCATATTTCATCTGCTTCATTAACTTTACCGCTGTTTCTGATTCGAATGATAGAGCAGCTCTGACAAGTCATGAAATACAATGGCGTAACCAGAGAAGATGATCAGATTTATCTAAGCATTTTATCGGCGTAAGCACAGGTTTGTATGTATGGGGAAGCCATTTCGCTCCGAATTATCCAAAACTCCAATAAATCAGCAGCCAGTACTTCTCGGAGATAGGTTTAGTAATTGACGAGAGCCGACATGAGAAAGACGAACTTTAAACAAGCAGGCGCACGCGATATTTAAAAAGAATGTGGATAGCAATCGCTTGGTTTGCAACGCCCATAAGCGTTCTGAAGTTCCACGCTACGGCTTTATTTTAGTTTGAATTTAATGAATTCAAAAAAATTTAATAAAATTCTTTTAATAGTAAATTCTAAGAATTTTTAGCTATTTTGAATTACAAATTCGTTTAAATTCATTTTCATTTAGGTCAAATTATTTTTAATTCATTTTTTCGGATCTGATTAATTAAGGAAATTTCATTTAATAACGAAAGAGAGGATTGTTGAGCCTGAAGAAAATTATTATTTAAGAAATTGGGTGCTTCAGTGAATAATGGAGCAATATTGAATTATTATTTTTTTGTTTTCAAGTAATTCCTTGGCTAAGTGGTTTCACCTCAATAGACAGTGGAGTAAGCCAAAATTAAAGTAGAAATGGTTAAGAAATTTTTTCTTCTAGACTTAAACTTAAACCGAAGCATAGCACAATAAGATTTAAAAAAAGATAGATTACGGGAATGCGATTGCTTTCTTGTTGGTAAAAATCAACATTTTTTACTTTCGCAGTTTTCTGAGAGTATATAAAATAACTTGATGCAGAAACGATTTTCAAAATAAAAACTTTTAATTGCGGGAAAAAATCAAGTTAAGATCGTGGAACGAAGAGATTGAAAATGAGATATTATTTGTACCAGTTTTCCATAATTTTGGATTTTTTTTTCCATCTCATTTCTTTATTAGTGAAAAATTGTAAACGATGGAATAATTAATTATAATTATAAAATTATAATTACAAATTATGATATCAATACAAAGTATTTAATAAGAGTTAACGGATTATCAATAAACAACAAATTTCTAATGTCGCGAATATAAATATATATTTCAAATAAAATATTAATAAAACTATGGAATAAAAGATTAGAAACTAGAAAAAATAGAAATATGAAATATGAAATAAGAAATTTGAAATTACTGGAATCTTCGGTGAAAAAAGAAATCAAAAATCAAATCTTAACTTAGCTTCACTTCCATCACAATAATTTATTTTTATGCCTACCGAAAGCTAATTCAAACTGTGCATAATGTTAATAATTTATATACACTCTCCTTCCTCTACCACCATCTTCATTTCTATTGCCACCAAAGACAAGATAGCAAAGTGGTTGTCGCTATTCCAGCGTCAGGATGCGCGTGTTGCCTCCGATAAGAATGAACTGCCATTAAAAATTCGAGTGGGGCCATATTCGTATCATCAACTCCCTTTTTTGCTAATTCCCTTTTTTGCCATGCTAATAGCCAGTAAAGCCAGCCTAACCGGACACATTGAGTATTGAGTATTAACTACTTATTCACTTATCGCCGTCCACCGCTTACTCATCCATTTTCATCAAGAAAATAGTTTTTTAACCAAAGATTGCGATTTACTTGATGATAAAGTTCTACTTCTTTATCATACGATTAAATTATTATAAATGGGCTGTTTACAATTTTTTGTGAAAATTCATCATCTAAATTTTCGTTATGCTTAATCAGTTCG